GCGCCTGCTGAAAGTTTGGCCAGCGCTCGCTGAAAAAAAATTATGGAGTGCTCGCAGCACATCTGCGTTTTCGTCACGGCTTTCGTCGTCTCGCGCACTTACGTCATGTATTCAGAACTTCGTGAAATCGATGGTTTTATGTACACAAACATCACTTCTGCTAATAATGGGATTGTAGGTTCCCTTTCAGGACTCCATTCAGATGCCTAAATTCTACGTTGAAGAGATGTCTAAATGTACTAGTCAGTGGAGTGTGACTGATGCTCCATTTCAGCTAAAACAATTCGTATGAGTTTGGAAATCAAATTCTTACACATGTGCTTGGAAAGCTCAACACTTCAACAACAACCAATTACAATATTACTAAGTCACGTCTACAATGCAAAAATGTGTGCTAAGTAAACTACGCAGTTCGCACTTAGGCATGTATGATGATCAATTTCAAATCAGTCGATATTTCAGGTTCGGAGGTGGTATGACCACCCTGACCTTGTCCTGCAATCCGCGGCGTGCACTTATGGCCGCACTAGCGCTGATATCATCTGATGAAAACGGCAAGCAAAAAGCTAGTTTAGGAGCTGTATCCGGGAAGCTGGTACTGGCTCCACATCGGCGCATCGCCATGGCATTCGATACATTCGTATACAATGAGTTCACAAGAATGATTCCATTACTCACTCCGAAATGAGGCGTGTGCAGCGAAGAAACCTTACAGGCATGCTTACATGTATAACTAATGAAACTTATTTTAGCAATTGTACAAGTTATTGTATAAATCAACGATTCTATCAATGAGCATGCAACGCCGCTTATGTATAACATCTGGATGTTTGAACAAATTGAAAGCAGCTAGTAAACGTAATTGTAGTTTGTGCCAAGCAAATGTTGAAGTGCTTATTGTGGTGACTATGACTATAGCGTAACGCCATATCAGTCCTTTTGCATCTGATATGAGACCAGGGCTCGTAGTAATTCTCGAAATCTGTACCAATGTAAAGAAAGCACGGTTGACATGCCCGACTAATGTACATGCCGCTCAGACCATTTCTTGAT